GCAGCACCCTTTCGATTATGGCTTAAGGGTTCGAATTTATGTTTAAGATCTACATTTAGTTGAATACCAAATCATTTACCAAAATCGTTTCCTTGTGCAGACGTTTAATTTTGTTTGTTTCACCACAACAACTGTATCTATTATTTGTCAAAGGAATTCCAGTATGGAGACACCGCGGCACTTTAGATAAATAATATATAGTTACGTATCATCGGTTCGCTTGCTATTATAATCAATAATCATTTAAAAAAGCATTTACATGGTAATACGAATTTTTATTTAAATGATCGTAGCAATTAAACAACTGACCAGAGAACGTCTTAACTTTGACCATACAACGACACCGTACAAACTTTATTTATCGAAGCATACGTTATTAAATGAACAGTTCACGTGCCGTCTTTCCATCGCCAAATCAGTGACGTTTTAACGTTTGAAAGTGCCGTTATTTAAGAGCTTCTAAACGACCATGTTCCAAAGAAACTCTCCAATCTAATATGTCGATTATTTACTTCTAGTTTCTTACTCTATCATTTCATTACATATATTCACAAAAATAATTTTTTGATCTTTTTATCTTCAAATAAATATCTTTGTAATTCAAAACCCCAATTTTGGGGAAATCACGTTAAAATGCACTCTCCTTCCTTACTTATAAATGGGTTAAATAACCCTTACGAATGATTTCCAAGGGACGTACATCTATGACACGGTTAGGTAATAGCAAAATGTAGGCATAACTAAGAGAGAAATGGCGAGCTGTGAAATGTCCTGTACGAGGTGACCGGCTATGACCTGATGAATACATATATCTGGAAACGAAAATCGATTCCTAGCAGTTTTTTTTTTAAATGTTTATTTTTTCATAAAATGTTTCATTTCGAGCGTTGTATCATCCGTTTAACTTATTGATTGATTGAGTGATTGATTTAACGAGTGACAGGTTTTTCGTCTCTGCGACTCCTCCCGTTGTCGGGTGTAGTCACTACTTAACTTACCGGTTAATTTGTAATAATAACACGTAACACATGGGCTTTTATGGTCGCCTGACTATCAAGACAGACTCAATGGGTTTGAATTACTCACCTGTTCAATAGCTCAAGCATGCTACTACACAAATATCATGACACACAGGACCTATTGCTTGTTCCAAGAATGTTTTAGTTAATGGATCAAGGTCAATCATTTAGCCCTTCATCAAATTATGTTATGGATCTAATATCAATACTGGGAACATTTGGTTATTAAGAACACATTCGATTTCCGTGACCTTGAAAAAAATAAGTCAAGGTCAATTATTTGAACATAATTGGTATCTATACATTCCAGAAAGCTACGGACCAAATATCAGCACGCTGGACATTTTGGGTATTGATAAGTTGTTTAAAGAATTTAACCTATTTGATCATTGTGATCTTGAAAGAGGTCATTGTCATTTATTGGAAAAAAACATGGCAGTCTTTCATTTCAGAATGCAACATCCGAATAACAGCACCCTGTGGTATTTGCTTCTTGAGAAGTCGTCTGAAGATTTTAACACATTTAGCCCTTGTGACCTTGACAGTCAGTAAAGGTCATTCATTTTAATTAACTTGACAGCACTTCATCCGTACATGCTATAGGAAAAAAAAAAAAAAAAAAAGACCACTGGGACTTTCGGGTCAAATGACCTGATAATCATAAGAAACAGGATAAAAACAACAAGTCAGCCTCTTCGTTTGGAGAAAAGCAGACAAGCACTACAAACGATTGCTTTCTACAAGTCTAAACACTGCGTATAAACAGATTTAAGGTATTGTGTAACTACACTGCTCACAAATTTTCTATTTACGATGAATTATTTAACACTTTAAAAGTCTTTTTTTTTTGCTAAGACATACAACATTCTATTTGATACCGAGAGGTGATTCATTCCTACAAGGCTACAGCTATAATGCCTTCCTGTTATCATTGCAATACCTGACTGGCCAGTCAGTCCTGCTGAATAATTACGGATCATTTAATCAATTTCTTGACATCTGCACGCGATCTATTAAGTAAATGATATTCATATCGCTCACAAATCGAATGCTGCATTCGTATTTAAACAGACAAGATCATCCATTATGTATCGTGACGGTACAAAAACTAAGGGAGAGGGGAGAGGGGAGATGGCACGGGATGATATGTAAATCACGGACTATAGTATACGTATATTTACACAGGGCAAAACAAACGATCCTGATCGCACGAATGAAGTTGGCAATCTCTAGTAACAACACATAAAACTAAACCAACGAAACGTTGGTAACGTGCATGCTGCCTTTGTCTGCTACACATTAGTTTTTCATGTAGACGGCTTTTATTAGTCTTTGAAAGGTTTTAACAAAGAGCTTCGGTGAAAATGTCACAATAACAAAATGTTTACAAGTTAACACATTCTTATTTTGTTTATAAAAGAAATAATAACAGCAACAACTGCGTTACATCCAAAAAACAAGAGGCCAATAGGGTCTGTATATCTCACCTGGTTTTGATGGATGAAATTGCTCCAGATTTAGAAAATGTAAAGTATTTATAATATTTAAATCTATTTCCCCTTTTGGGCCTCTCCACCAGGGGCCCTTAACCCATCGTTTCTAAATGTAAAGAAAATATTCTCTTCCACAAAAGCACGTTTCAGACCATATTAAGACAGAATCCAGGCAAGGCAATCCTTCTGAAGAACAACACTTTTAACGAATTTGCTCTTCTTCCCCATTAGCCATTTGTCCGATTTCCCCTATTGGATTCCGTCCCTCCTGAACAGGAGGCCTGGACTCGCCACTTTTACCAAATTCATTCCCTTTCATCAAAGGATGTTCCAGACAAAATCTGACAGAATCCAGGCAATTTTCCAGAAGCACGACTGACCAGCTAAGATGAAAACGACATTTGTTTTTGTCTGATAATCTGATCATACAACTCACAAATTTTCGCGACATCCATCATTCGCAAGTTTCTAACTGATAACAGGAAAACATACTTGATTAGTTCAATCTTGCTGAGAGTCGTTGAAGTACATGAACATCCTCAGTCCTAATACAAGTAACGATCAATCTATATAAATAACCTCAGTCCTAATACAAGTAACGATAACTCCGTATAAATAACCTTAGTCCTAATAACAAGTAACGGTAACTCTGTATAAATAACCTTAGTCCTAATACAAGTAACGGGAACTCTGTATAAATAACCTTAGTCCTAATACAAGTAACGGTAACTCTGTATAAATAACCTTAGTCCTAATACAAGTAACGGTAACTCTGTATAAATAACCTTAGTCCTAATACAAGTAACGGTAACGCTGTATAAATAACCTTAGTCCTAATACAAGTAACGGTAACTCTGTATAAATAACCTTAGTCCTAATACAAGTAACGGTAACTCTGTATAAATAACCTTAGTCCTAATACAAGTAACGATAACTCTGTATAAATAACCTTAGTCCTAATAACAAGTAACGGTAACTCTGTATAAATAACCTTAGTCCTAATACAAGTAACGATAACTCTGTATAAATAACCTCAGTCCTAATACAAGTAACGGTAACTCTGTATAAATAACCTTAGTCCTAATACAAGTAACGGTAACTCTGTATAAATAACCTTAGTCCTAATACAGGTAACGATAACTCTGTATAAATAACCTTAGTCCTAATACAGGTAACGGTAACTCTGTATAAATAACCTTAGTCCTAATACAAGTAACGGTAACTCTGTATAAATAACCTTAGTCCTAATACAAGTAACGGTAACTCTGTATAAATAACCTTAGTCCTAATACAAGTAACGGTAACTCTGTATAAATAACCTTAGTCCTAATACAGGTAACGGTAACTCTGTATAAATAACCTTAGTCCTAATACAAGTAACAGTTACTTTGTATAAATAACCTTAGTCCTAATACAAGTAACGGTAACTCTGTATAAATAACCTTAGTCCTAATACAATTAACAGTAACTCTGTATAAATAACCTTAGTCCTAATACTTTGCGCTACGAGTTGTATTTAAACTGCCGATATCTTGCACGAAAAGCCACAATTAATGCAAAATTATTCCCTCTTTTACCCAAGGATGCTTCAGACCAAATTTGGATAGAATATCTTCATTCAAAAATAAATAACAAACACTAGAATATCACCTGTAGAGACTGACGTACACACTAGAATATCACTTGTAGAGACTGACGTACACACTAGAACATCACCTGTAGAGACTGACGTACACACTAGAATATCACTTGTAGAGACTGACGTACACACTAGAACATCACTTGAAGAGACAGACGTACACACTAGAACATCACTTGTATAGACTAACGTACACACTAGAATATCACCTGTAGAGACGGACGTACACACTAGAATATCACTTGTATAGACAGACGTACACACTAGAATATCACTTTTAGAGACAGACGTACACACTAGAATATCACTTGTAGAGACTGACGTACACACTAGAATATCACCTGTAGAGACTGACGTACACACTAGAACATCACTTGTAGAGACAGACGTACACACTAGAACATCACCTGTAGAGACAGACGTACACACTAGAATATCACCTGTAGAGACAGACGTACACACTAGAATATCACCTGTAGAGACAGACGTACACACTAGAATATCACCTGTAGAGACAGACGTACACACTAGAATATCACCTGTAGAGACTGACGTACACACTAGAATATCACTTGTATAGACAGACGTACACACTAGAATATCACCTGTAGAGACTTACGTACACACTAGAATGTCACCTGTAGAGACAGACGTACACACTAGAATATCACTTGTAGAGACGGACGTACACACTAGAATATCACCTGTAGAGACAGAGGTACACACTAGAATATCACTTGTAGAGACGGACGTACACACTAGAATATCACCTGTAGAGACAGACGTACAGGCTTGAAAAATATATCATTACGTCTTAATGATTAGCCGAAAAAGAAATAACATCCGTGATAAGATGGTATGGTTTTATTAAGATGTAAACATGTTTTCTTTGTTACTGACAGTTTTATAGTATGATAATGATGTGTATAGATTGGATGAATATACTGACTTACAATAACAATTAATCATGTATCTTACAATTTGACAATAACTACATGCAAACTGACATTGACAATAAACGTATATACGTTACAACATGCAAACTTCGTCAAGTTACAAGCAGGAATATCCAATATGATACAGACATATTGCACGCAGATGTATCTTGTATGAAACAAAACTAAACCGTAAAAGTTTATTATAAATGAAAAATCTTTCTTTTCTCTACTTCAGTTGATTTTTAGGATATTCCTCCTTGCGCAAATAATATATGATGCATGCTTTATCCTATACTCTTTAGATTAACATTATGCTGTTGTTTCAAGATTCAATTCCTGCTCCGCCCCATAGTCTACCTCCGTCAAATCAGTCCGTCCCAATATCAATTTGTTGATCATAAAGAATTTATGGAAAGAACGTGAGATATTGCTGATTTTTCCGTACTATTTAATTTCAAAATAAATATAAAATTAAATGAATGAGCTTTATACGCCGTCGTTTTGTCCGTAATTTTCTGTTATACAAAGCAATGTACATGAATCATAAAATCACAATGTAACCGATCTGACAAAGTAGTGGTAGTGATATAACATATTTCAGTATCTACATACACTACGGTGTGAGAACGGATATAATAACATTGTTGCTTGGGGTTTTTTTCAACTTGAAACCGATTTTATTTGCTTTTTGAATCATGAAGAAAGAGGAAAGTATTTTCTGTGACTGGATATTGACGGATAAACAACCCGATCCCATGACTTAAATTAATCGACCCTCCCAAGACTAGCCGACACAAAAACAGAAAAAAATAGGTACATGCGTCCTAAAGTAAACATCAGACTGTGTGATTATGCATCTAAACTACTACTAACACATAACGTGGAATGTAGCTAATCCGGACAATTTAGTGCAGATTCCTCTGACTCCGGAATATCGAATTACCACTTTTAATGGAACAATTAAATATATAAATGAATATATAAAAAATACCGGTTGGATTAGCGAGATTCCATTTTAAACCCAAAGATATTCCTAAAAATGACATTTAAGTCTCAATATCGTTCATGCCAAGTGAATAAAACTGTATTAACCACATATACTGAATCAATCCCCGATTTCACTACTTAAAACAAAATCTTAACCTTGTGCACGAATACTACAGCCAGAGTATCCCTACTTAAAACCGCAGTCTCTAGGAGATATAGATTCAAGCACCTGTGGTGAAAACAGTTATCAAAAACCCGTCAAACAAGTAAACTCGTGCAATTTGCATGACAATTAGCACTTAACAACAATTTAAGTGACCTTTTGGAATGTGACATTTTGCTCATATTATTGTGCACATTTTACATGAGTCGTCCTTGAAAAGATTATCCTTCACAGGATAAACAAGCGGATCATTTGCGATGTTTTGTTCACAAAAAGTAATCATTTCTTGAATGGAGACACTCATTGGCGTGCGCTGACATTGCAGGTGGCGCTTCATCTGATTCACGTGACTTGTTACTTTCTCTATTTGGTCACTTCGGCTAAGAACTGGCATGATGACAGTGATGACGTAGTACACAGACGGTGATAATGTGATGCACAGATGGTGTGACGTGTCACATAAATGGTGATGGCACGAAAAGGTTTCACTAAGACACCTACATCCAATAAGCAATGAACTTTGCTACAATAGACGAGCAAAAAGAAACAAAAACATAAACAAAAAGCAAGCAACAAAGTACAAAAAATACCAAACAACGGTAACATAAACACGACACAAATTGATTGTTTCTCAAATGTTAATTGGTTATGGAGTAGTTTGTGCCAATTTTGAAACGAGAAGAAGTCAGTTATTCTATTTTTTTTCACGAATGCCTGTTCACTGATGTTCGTATTTAATTCGTCTTCCTTGTAATTAATTAATCTTGTCCGTGTATTTTTAACTAAGACGTGTTAAAGAGTTAATTTCAAAAATGGAAAGAAAATGAAGTTAAATGTAAAAAAAGTGCCAGTCAGAAATTGATACATGTTGCCATGCTGTATCAAATCGACACAAAATACGCAATTTTAGAATGCAAATAACACGATGCTGCAGGATACATTAGCACTGTCAAACGTTAGCAAATAACCTAGTCCCCAAGCTTTATATATTATCCCGATGAATTGGAGAGTAGAAACATGCGAAGGTTTACACGTCGGCCTCGGGGTTTTGATTTTGAAAAATTAGGCAATAGTTTGTAAGCAAATTACACCTTCCAAGGCTTACATCATCTCAATCTTGACAATTTGTCACATGCACACAAACGTAATAATCTCTGGAACGTCCCGGATCTTTCTTCAAAACAGATTTCGAGATTAACCTCGTGATTTTACCTGTGTGATATTCACAATTAATATGAAGTTCTCTCAAACAGCACTGAGAAATTGAATTAAAGCAAAATAACTACTGCAACAAAAGCACGGGTCATAACCTTTTAATTTTACATTGGGATGCAAGGGTTTCTGGTACCATACGCAACGTTTGCCATAACTATAGAGGGTAAACATACAGGATAAAGGCACTGTAGAATCAGGTGCCTCGTAAATTCACATCTGAAATCATCCTGTGGTTCAGTAAGTACGGCGAGTGTGGGTAAATCCCGAGTTTTAATGGTGGTCAAAAAAGCATCTCCTGCGATACGTTAAATCTCTTGTTACCTGCTCTTCTATCTTGATTTAAACAAGAAGTACAAGGACTACCAACATTGTAACACCCAATACTTTTCCCGTTGACATCTATCCTAATGTCATATACTCTACAGACTCGAAGAAGGTGAAACTTAGCACACAATTCTAGACAAAGAGCATGAATTGGCTGTGACAAACATATATATAAAGGCATGCCTAGTTCTAGAAAATATGATTTAAAAGACGGCAACAATGACAATAGCTAAAGAGGATATGAAGAACGAATAATATATATAATTCTACTTACCTGTGGTTTAAATGATGTTGCTGATCTTACCCCGACAAAATGAATCTGAAAATGGAACGTTTTAGGTTTTTTTCAAAACAGGCATGGTGATCAAGACTTAGGCCTACTTGGTGGAAGTCATGTGCCAAACTTCGGATATATATATATTTCTGTACACAACAAATTCGTTCTCACATATACTTAGTCGATGTCAATCACACTTCCTTGAATCTTTCTTCGAACAAATTAGGTGTGTATGCCATTCGTTACATCTTAGCCGATTTCGAGGCGACAACAAATGTGCTCACATTGAAATGTATATCGGAATTAGCCGATTGGCACAATGCCACGGTGGTCGCTAATATCTTCCGTTTTTTCTACCTCTAAATTATTCGACCAAATTTAAAATTCATCACCGTCTGACTGAACTTCTACTCGATATAATAATTACACTTGGAGATAGAATACAACACGTAAAACAGCAGACGACACAGCACAAGGAAGTCGACACCCAATCCGATTTATAGTCTGTTTCATATATGTACCTATATGCATGAAGACTTCCCATAAAACTTTATCGGGGATTTTATGAATGCGAGAAAATCTTTAATGAAACAAGATCAAATAAAGGAGAGTAGTATTTCAAATCAATAAAAGATGAGCTTGAGAGCGAGCCCTTCTTAGTATCGTTCAGCCGATTGGGTCTTGCTCTAATCTCTCTCCCCGGCTACTTGATATCTTGAACACACAGAAAATGTTGATCCTGGTGGCGCTTTTAAGTCCCTGTCAGTTTATTACCAATGACAATGAGACAAATACTGGTAGAGCTGCTGGACTAGTTTTAGATCAGCCTGCTTGACTAAGGAGTGGTCGAACAGATGGGACACCGATTAGTGAGTCGATTTTCTGACGAGACGTTTACCAATAAACCTTGTGAATGTACTCAAGGCTATCGGTTGCTTAATTGGTTGTACATATGCAGATATTGAAGCATGTTAAGAGCTCTGATTGTCTTAAAATGCAGTAAACTGCAGTAGTTTGAGAAGTGTAACAAATAGAATTTCTGTAGGAGGAGGGATAAAAAATACATACACAATGTATATACTACAAATGTAAAAGAGGCTACTATTACTAGGAAGCTAATTATCTGTAGATCACACTATCACAACCTCCTCTATATGTCACACTTGTGTAAAATTTATCATGACGGTCACACTTGATAACCAAAACTAATTGCAGGTCACACCTGTCAACCATAGCTAACGATTGGTCACACTTGTCCAACTAAACTAATTACAGGTCCTGCTTGTCCACAATAACTAATTAAAAGTGACATCTGTCACCCTCATCTATTAACAGCTCGCAACATGTCAATCACAACTAATTGTAGGTCAAACCTGTTAACTACAACTAATCACATGTCACATTTGTCATGACAACTAATTATATAGGTCACAATTGCCAACCACAAATAAACACTGGTCATATTTCACCCCTAATATACCATAATTTATTCTAAAATACTGACTTGAATGTCTTAACCTCTTTTTTGTCAGACTTAAAATCGCAATTCATCATTGCATTTGCCAAAGGTACTCTATTTAAAACAAAAGGCCAAAGGGGCTGGTATCTCTCACCTGGTCCAAACCATTTCTGAAATAATTTTAATCGGGTCCAAGCCTTGTGGTCAAACACAAGTCAGTTTCACTAAACATAAAAATTGCATAAGACCAATCAGGGACCATGGGCCTTGTACAGAAGGACAACTTTTTAGAACTTACTTTTCCAAAATTGGGTCCCATCCCTTCCACCCCAGGAAGACAGTACCCCTGACAGGCTATTTATACAGAACTGTCATTTAAACGCTTTAATATGTGTATTCAGCCAACCTGAAAAAGCGCTTTAATGATTCAGAATGACACAAGCATGGCGAAGAAGTCTACGATAGGATGACTGTTTCTGGTGTCACAACAGATAAAAACGATCGGCTTTTGACTTTTGTTGATAATGACGGTTTTAGAAATCACAGCCTTACTAATTATCCCAAAGCACGCGTGTTGTTTCGTTACGTAGTCAGTAGGCCTATCTACTACCTGCAGACTACGCAATGTAAACTTGACGGGCTACCACGCGTGTCTGTAACAACATCGTTTTGACAGATCAAGGCAAGTTCATAAAATTGTTGTTGCTGAAATAATAACTTTATGTTATGTTAATGGCTTCATTTGTTAAAATAAAACTTCAAACAGCGGCAAGGATAAGCCAGCTAGTGTATTTCAAACAAGTATCAATAGAGAAAAATGTAACTCTAGTGATTTCTGTACAAGAACAATGCAATATAGAAATGACATCAAGGACACCTAGTGTATTTCCAACAAGTGTCAATACAGAAAAGTGTAACTTATTTAATGAGTAAAATTGTTTTGTTATTGATATTGGTTATGTACTGTAAAGTATCATTCATTGGTTTAAAATTAAAATTTTTGTGTGTTTAGTTTTCCATAATGTAAGATTAATTAGATTTAGTTGATTCAATTTCTCAAATTGGCTTCAATCAAACGTTACGTGCCAATATGCCAAGGTTACTCTCTGAAGAAATTGGCTACTAAAAATCACATTAGGCTATTTTTTTGGCTACTGATAATTTTGGTTCCGGGTGAGCCCTGCCTGTTTATACAGAACCGACTCCTTTTCATCCAGGAACACTTCAAACCAAATTTGGACAAAATGCAATCATTTTCTACTGGAGTAAAATTTTAAAGAATTTGTTCAATTTCCTCTATTTGGCCCTGCCCCTCCCACCCAAGAGGGCCAAGGCCCACCATACATACCAACTTCTTTCCGCTAAACCAAATTTGGGCAATATCCAACCATGCCTTCAGGAGGATCAGAACTTAAGAAAATTTCCTAACTCGGACCTGCCCCAGAGTTCAAGACTTTATGTTTATACAAGATTGATTCTGTTACTCAAGTATGCTTCAGACCAAATATGGGCAATATCCATTTGTTCCTACAGCAGAAGTAGAATTTTTGAAGAACTTGTACAATTTTCCCTTTGGATGCTTGGTTCACTTTCCCCACAAGGATTCTTCAACAAATGATTCTGTCACACTTCTTAACCACAAATTATCATACAGTATTTATCACACCTCACCACAGATTATTCTATATGTTGCACCACCTCACCGGCCATTATCATGTCATGCCTCTTAATCACAAATTATTATTTACATATATGTCACGCCCATTAACTACAAATTATACTTTATGTACCCTTAACATTTGTCATGCACAACTTATCCTATTGGCCACAGTTGTTAATCAATTCCTATTCTTTAAGTCACACTTTAAATTTGTTCACCAATATTTATTCTACTATACAAGCTAGTTTATGTTACCTAAACCACAGGTGATTTAATTCTGCAAGTCAAAGTTTTCTCTCATAATGGAACCAATTAGTCATGTTTAATTTGTTAGCCATGAAATTGTATGGCACATGCTAACTGCCACTCTAAAGGTCAACAATTAATGCTGCTATGATGTCACAAGGCAGTAGTTGTTTCCTCCCTCCCTCCCCCATCAGTTGTCGCGCTGTCACCAGTTATAGAACTGTGTTAATACAATATCCCTTCAGGTGCTTGTAGTTCTACGCCTTACTGTGAGTGTATTAACTGTTGCCAGCTGAAGGGTTAAAGTCTAAATGTCAGTGTGATTTATTTAAGAAATAAACAATAACAAAAATCAATTTCACTTCTTCCATAATTTAATACAAAAAGTATCCAAAACCCGGATGTAATAATGTGACAAGAATACTTTTATTTAGCTTTATACATTATTTACAATAATACAAAAATGTCCGTAGCCTTGTTTTTAATACAATAATACAGACATCTGTTTTACAGTGTTTATCACATGTACATTACCCATGCCATTTCATTGCACAATAAGCTGTATACAACAACACTGTCACTAAAAACTCAGCACTTGTACAAACATATATACTGTATCAGTGGTACAAACATATATACTGTATCAGTGTCTGTAGTAAATCTGGTGATCACTGGTACAAACATATATACTGTATCAGTGGTACAAACATATATACTGTATCAGTGTCTGTAGTAAATCTGGTGATCACTGGTACAAACATATATACTGTATCAGTGTCTGTAGTAAATCTGGTGATCACTGGTACAAACATATATACTGTATCAGTGTCTGTAGTAAGTCTGGTGATCACTGGTACAAACATATATACTGTATCAGTGTCTGTAGTAAATCTGGTGATCACTGGTACAAACATACCGTAAAAACCCACGTAATGTCCGCATCTGTGTAATGTCCGCACCCCTTTTTTGACACAAAAATCTGGGGAAAAAACCCACCTTCCATGTAATGTCCGCGGGTAAAAAATGCAAATTGAAGCTACCGATTTAATTTCACGTACGCTAATGTCGTAATGGCCGAGAGCATGTCGCATTGTGTATAACATACAGGTACCATTCAAGAATTCACTTAATTGTTTATAACAACAGTTATTCTCCATAATGGTATATTACCAGTATGACAAGTCCTCATGTCGATAAGTGGTGTTTTGATAAGGGTTAGCCCAGCAGTGTTATAAACAGCTTGGGTCGTCTCCTCACCTCGAGTGTGAGTGAGTGACAGCGTGTGATTAGCCAATTAACGATAACTATACAGTAACATGACCCGCCAATGACCCACGGCGCCACTGACCCTACTGACACACCATCAGACGACGAGAACGCCATTTATTACAACGACCAGACAGAGGAAGACAACTTCATCGCCGAGGAGTTCTTCCACAGTGACGACGACGACGACTTCTGGAGTTTCGAGAAACGCGATTAAAACGGCCTGCTATGTATTAAGACTTTCTGATAAACGATCCATAATCAATAAAACGTCTGATTATTTATTTTATTCTTGTACATGTTATTTATTGTTATTTTGTAAATAAAATGTAGAATGAAAATGTTGTGTTATTTTGTATATGCTCATGGGTATGCTTTTTCAATGGGGGAAGGGGAATAACTCTAACTTTA